CCTCTGGCAGCTCTGTGAGAGGAGGGAAACCTCTGCTCAGTGGTGGGGGTGGCTGCAAGGGGAGACAGCGGGCTATCTAACCATGGCCTTCAGTCACCCACTCAAAAGACCCCTCCTACCTTTACAGGAAGGGCGGAGAAGGAAAATACTACAAATAAAAGAATCAGGCAACCCGCAGTGGTTGTTTTGTTGGTTTTTTTTTTCCAGTGGTGTTTTTTGGGGGTTTTTCCCCGCAAAAGCAGCGTATCTAGGAACGTCATCTTATTCATCAGTCCAACATTTTTTACCACACTAAATCCTGGCACAGATATTTTCCCGAGCTTTCAGATGGCAAGCCTGAGATTTGCACTGTGAGGGGATTTCTTTTTCCTCTGCTGAGTGTATCCTATGACTACCAGAAATCCGCAGAAATCCCCAGGTACCAGACAGCCAACAGCGCCACGCTCAGACCTGTAACACCCTCCCTGCTGACAGGGATCCCAGTTGTGCCTTACTTCAGCAGCAGCTCAAATACTGATCCTTGGAACAGCAACAACTGACAACAGTATGCACAGAACAGTTCACTGAGGTCTCCAAATTCTTTCAGAAGGATCATGCCAAACCCTAAACCCCTTCCTGGCTTTGGCCCAGGACTTAACCTAGCATTCGAATGCCTACACGGTCTCCAAGAAGAGCTTAGCTCCTGGAACTTCACATGCCTTCCGAGCAGGGTCTCATAAGAAAGAACACTTCACCTCAAAACTCTTTTCTCCTCCTGCCACAGGGACTGTTTAAATGGCAAGACCGTACATTCTTTAAGTGGAATAGCAGTCAGGCCAAGCTTTCTTCTTGGGCTCAACCACTAACAGGATGGAAAACGTTCCTGAATGCTACGAAACAAACATTGGCAGGAAGCGGAAAGTGGTTTCTATGCATGAAATGGACAGTTCAAGAAGAACAGAAATATTCTTCATTTGTGGTCTTTTCTACAACAGCAGGGGTTTCCTTTTGCGACCATATTTTTTCTCCCATAACTTATTTAATTTACCAGAAATTAACACGGAACTTGCCCATCACCTGGAAAGAAAAGCAGTTGTGTTGCTGGCATGAAAGGCCCCAGCGATACTGCAGGGAGGAGCTGCAATGTGTTCCTAAGGAAGAGAAGGCCATCACACACTCATGATTTCTAGTCGTTCTGTGAAAACAGCCGCTTACCTGAGAAGGATCACAGGTCTCCTACTCCAAGTTGCCCTGAGTCAGGCTCAGCGCTCTCCACCAGGGAGCTCAGAGCCAGTTGGAATCAAACACAGAACACCTCAAACACACAACAGGAAGATACAGGACATATTAGGAAGAGGAATGGGACATCCAGGCTGGGGAAGCATGTAACAAAATCAACAAAGAATCTTCCCAGGCATACACCAGAAGGGAAGTGATCTGCCACAGCTTGATATACTCCAATACCATGGTATGTCAGATGCCAAGAACACACAGACCTAGCAAGAACTCCTCTTTATGGGAGTAACTGCATACAGGGATGGAAGGCAGGAGACTGCAAAAGCATCTAGATTAGTGTTCTAGTTCAGATTAACAGGATGTGCTTTTGAAGTAACCTTTGAATTTACCTCCACATATGCTTTGAATCCTACCATGAAGCAGCATCAAACCACAAAAACAGGATTCTTCACAAATTAACTGGCAGATGTATTCCCAGAGCACCCCTGACACACTGCAGCCTCAGGTGGGCCTTCAGGCCACAGGAACAGACCACAGGACAACTGAAGTGAAAGAAAAACCCTAGCCTGAAGTGTGTGCAGCACCAACTACTTTATCGTAAACGGATTTGCCTGTCTACAGTATTTCCTAATGTAGGAATTGTCAGGAAAACAATCTGATCCCATGGGTACCCTCTGCATATCTCTTACCAGAGATACATCTATAGCCTTTGACGTGAGAGAAAGCAAGAGGAAATGAAAGCCACTTAATCTTGAAGTCCAATTTGCCCTCCATACAGCTCTGCCATCAGTGTCAAGGACAGAAAAAAAAAAGTTATCTCCTACTTCAATTAACAATGCAAGTCTACTAGCTAAAATATTTATCTTTCAGTCTCCCAAAGGGACAATCCTGTCATCTATAGCTGCTCTGAATGGTTATGGCTGTGTTCTCTAATGCCAGCGTCCAACAGAAGGTTATGGATTTGTCTTTTCTTACACAAAAGGATACCATCAACAACTACAGCAAGTAAAAGTGATTTTGAAAAAAAAACCCCAGAATTCTTGAATAATTCACTTGATACAAATCTCCAGCCGAGTTAAACTTCCAACACCAACTGATGAGCAACTATATGATGACTAGAGCTGTTTGATGGACAAAGGGTGGTACATGGTACACTAAACCTGGGGGGAACGTTGATCTGCTCAAGGGTGGGAAGGCTCTTCAGGGGGATCTGGACAGGCTGGATCAATGGGCCCAGGCAAGTCGTATGAGGTTTAACAAGGCCAAGTGCCGGGTCCTGCACTTGGGTCACAACAACCCCACGCAGCGCTACAGGCTTGGGGACGAGTGGCTGGAAAGCTGCCCGTCAGAAAAGGACCTGGGGGTGCTGGTTGACAAGTGGCTGAACATGAGCCAGCGGAGGCACGAGGGGGCCAAGCCAGCCAACAGGATCCTGGCCTGTATCAGAAATAGTGTGGCTAGCAGGGGTAGGGAGGTGATTGTGCTCCTGTACTCAGCACTGGTGAGGCCACATCTGGAGGGCTGTGTACAGTTTTGGGCCCTTCACTACAAAAGAGTCATTGAGGGTACTGGAGCGAGTCCAGAGAAGGGCAACGAAGCTGCTGAAGTGTCTGGAGAACAGGTCTTATGAGGAGCAGGCAAAGGAACTGGGGTTGTTTATCCTGGAGAAAGAGAGGCTGAGGGTAGACCTTATTGCTCTCTACAACTCCCTGAAAGGAGGTTGTAGTGAGGTGGGGGTCATTCTCTTCTCCCAAGTAACTAACAGCAGGACCAGAGGAAACGGCCACAGGTTGTGTGAGGGGAGGTTTAGATGGGATATTAAAGAAAAATTTCTTTACCAAAAGAGTAGTTAAACCTTGGAACAGGCTGCCCAGGGAAATGGGGGAGTCACCATCCTTGTAGGTGTTCAAAAAAATGTGTTGATGGAGCACTTGTAGACATGGTTTAGTGGGCATGGTGATATTAAGTCAATAGTTGGACTTTATGATCTTAGAGGTCTTTTCCAACCTTAATGATTCTGTGATTGGTCATTCAGCCAGGTCTAAGTCCTGAATAGCTCCTCCCAGAAGTATTCTTTACATATGTGTATGACAGACACTGCACTACCTCTCCTACTAGTTGATGCCTGTTTTGATCCCAGAGACAGAGAAAGCACCCCAGTTTCCAGGTCACATCTGTTTTCATCTTTCATTCTTTTTAGTGCAACTGTAACACATGGAGTAAAACCACAACACAGTAGCACACCTGCTGACTTAAAATCCCTCTATAAATAGTGTTTGTGCAAGTTGTTATGTATGGGTGACTACATTACTCGACTGTAAAAGCCATTTTTAGTAGCACTATTTTTGTGCTCTACCTCAAAATTATAGTATGGTGAGGAAATTCACACATAAGGCATCTTGAGTAAGAGACAGCAACTTACCCTCACCCTGTGCTTCAGGAGGAGTTCTAAGATGCCAAATCCTATAGAAGCACAAAAGGAAGAAACAAGACCTACTTGTAGCTACTGAGTGCAGTCTATAGAAAGTCCCTCCATTTAAGCCATGCCTTCAAGGCAAAGTCAGACTTACAATTCATGCAAGTAAACTGGTTTAGATGAAGCAACTACAAAGAAGTACCTCCTTTCTAAAAGCAAACCCATTCATAGACCAACACCAAACTGCAGCAGTCCCCAGCTCCGAAAGGACAGCCATTCGAGACGAGATAGCTTTTTCACTTTGAACACAAAAGGCTCATATTCAAGGTTGCAAGCTAGGCCTCTTCAGAACAGGCTGAGAGCAGCAGATCAGAGCATAGCACAAGTTTTCTCTCATCTCCAGACTTAAATGATTCTGCATGAGTTCTACAAGATGACTGCAGCATCAAACCAATGACATTTTTGGTTTCCCTCCCTTCTGCTTGTTCCCAAAAATACTATCTCCCACACACGGACTTCATGCCTTTAGATAGTATCACAAAACAACAGGTCTGTTTTTAATTATTGTACCAAAAATGTCCCAACTAGACAGAGCTGCTGAATAATAACACATGATTTTTTGTTAACTCAGTCATGGCCTGCCCTATTTACCCTGGCAGTATATAAACCTTGCTTTATAAAAGCAATTTAAATTTAAGACACTGTCTTCTCCTACCTCCTTTAAGGTTCATTGCCTAAGTCAAGTAAAAGGGCTGAAAAGCACATGGTGTCCTGAGTAAGGATGTTTCACAGCCCACTTCCAGCAGGTCAGAAGTTAAGCTCCAGGACTGTCTTGTTTCCAGAAGAGAAAAAACTAAAATACAACCAAATCATGTTTTCATAAAAAGAAAAATATAAAGAACTCCCTAGGAAGACTTTTAATGAAATAAATACACTAAGTTTCCAAAACACTTTTGTGGAAGAGACACCAAGACCTCTTTGCAATCATACCTAAGTACACATTGTGGCCATTTCTACGAGATAGCTTTAACCTTGGCAAAATATACTCACAGGTTAAGAGCTTCCATGAAAAGCTTATGCAAACGTGTACCTAAACTGATAAAGGCAACACCTACAAAGTACATATTAACTGACTTGTCATTAGTGTGTAATGACCTTACCTCAATACATCTTCCTCATTCATGAATATGAAAGCAACAGCATGAAAGGACTTGGGTGTTTCAATTTTTATTGCAAATCATTTGTCCCTGCAATGTTTCAAAACTACTTTAACTAAGCCAAACTGAAAAATGTTTGCATTAAGATTATTTTCATTAGCTGTAGCACGATACACAAATAGTCACATAGGCTTCATGTACACAGCCTCATTTTATCGTCGTCCAGTTCTACTCTTCAATGCTTTCAAAGTTTTCCTCATGATGGGTGCAATTTCTTCAATAATAACAAAAAAAGGACACCAGTTAGGATTACAGCTATGAGCAACTTGCAATGGTATTAACATAACGTTACACATATATTAATAGACAGCAAGTTAAAACAATTATCTTCATAATCTCAGGAAATTCCATTTACTTTTGATAGGCTTCTTTCCATCTTGTGTCATTACGCTTGAGCTAGAACTTCCACTGTTGCTAGCTGGGACTGGATTTGATGACGCATTATTTCTGTGTCTGCTTTCTCGAATCCTTGTTCTTTTAAAACAAAGCAATAAGGAAAAAGTTAGCATTTGATATCAAACTACTACTTGCTCTGGCTCATTTTGAAAAACAAACAAACATTTAAGACTTTATACATCTAAAAATCATAGGGTAAATCAGGTTAGAAGGGATCTCAGGTGGTCATCTAGTCCATTTCCATTCTTGCACAAATTTGCCATTTATTAAGCTCAATGCATCTTATTTGATTTTAAAATTAAATTACCAGAATTTGTAAAAAAAAAATCAAAGCATTTAGCAATACCATTGTGATTCATAATGCCTTGTGCTCTAGTTTGCTCTTTGTGTTTATCTTCCTCTTTGAACACAGATGAACTGTTAACTAGCTCTCTGACAGAAAATAAGGGCAAATTTACATATGCTTTTTTT